CGTAACAAGAAATATCAATACTTTTTTAAAACCAGAACTTATTAACTATAACATTAAATATACATCATGGTACAACAGAAAGGACGCTGGATTGAAAGGAACCAGGTCCTGGCTATGGATTCTTTTCCCCTCCCCTCTCTCTCCCGATATCCTCTAGAATGAGAAGTTGTTTAAGGGTCCCTTGAGGCTCTAAATCCTTTCACCAAACCTACAAATCTTGTGCTTGTGCCAGGTACTTTGCTCTAGGCATGTGAAGGAAACAAAATGTGGCATTCCCCCCACAGAAGGGAGGACACAGTCCACCAAGGGAGACAAGGCATTCATGGTGGTGGTGGTGGTATTAAATTAATAATGATGAATTCTTTAGAAGTTCAGGGGAGCAAGAGATTTGAGTTGGGATTCAGGCTGTTCCTAATGAGATGCAGAAATTGGTATCAATCACATTTCCTCCCTAACTTTTCTTGTGACTCAGTAAATGGTGTCAGCCTCTGCACCTTCCCTAGATTGTATGTGTGGCCCCAGAATGGTGGGCACAGGAGTGAAAGATGAAAGCCCACTTGAAGCCGATTTGACAAGAGAAGCAGCCCCTTAAAAGATGTAGAATTGCCAGAAGTCCTTGGTCCATATTCCCTAAATTGTGATAAGCTCAGAGCCTATCACTTCTGTCAGAATTTGCGGTCGGTAAGCTTTCCTATCCCAGGCACAGAATCAAGTGTGTTTTCCCTAATGGAATACTGAGTGACAGTTATGTAGTTGTCTGGTCATAAACAGGCAGGTTCTGAAATGCTGGCGTCCATGGCACAGGCGTTGTCGTTCTAGATTACTTCAGCAGTGAGGACACGCGCCCTGTTTGGAAGCATCATTGTTGGATGAGGGTTTTTTTAATTCTACGTGTAACTGAACTAGAAGCTGCATCTTTAGTTCTAGCCTAGACATTTTGGCGCGTGCTTTTGTACTAGACAAGGGCAAGGCTTATAAACATCTCCTTAATGTTTCGGCATCTAGGAGATGCTTCAGATCTTCTTTGTGCCCTGGTATGTGACGAGGGTCTCGTACCCAAGCTGTTGTGCCTCCTTGTCATAGGAGAGGCCTGTGTGAACCTGGCTAGGGGGTGGTGTTAACTAAAAGCTGATTAAGCATAGTTCATAAAATAGCAGAACTGAAAAGGCCTTCAGAGATTATCTGGCCTTATCTCATCTCTGCCAGCCCTAAAGTGACAAACTAGTTAAGGAGCTTGTTTATAGCAGCTGTTTTTAGCCTATGAATCATCAGAAAATGTTGCTGTTGATTTCAAAGACTCGATTTCTAAAAAACTACATTCAGGAGTATGGTCTTTAAATATAGGCTATACCCCTAAACATTTATGCGCCAGGCATTCTGCTAAGCCCTAGAGATACCAAAGGAGGCAAAAGGTATTCCCTCCTCCTGGTCGCACAACATGTATTAAGGATGAAGCAGGATAATAATTGAGATCCTTTTTTGGAGGCGGGGTGGGGGGGGGGCTAGGCAGTGGAGTTAAGTGACTTGCCCAGGATCACACAGCTAATAAGTGTTATGTGTCTGAGGCTGGATTTGAACTCAGGTCCTCCTGAATCAAGGGCTGGTGCTCTATCTCCTGCACCACCTAGCTGCCCCCAATTGAGATCCTTTTAGTGAATACTTATAATTCCATTTCTTAATTTTCCTCATAAAATAGCATTTATAAAATTGTTTGGTACTATTCTAAATGAAATACAGAGAATTACACATTGTACTTCTTACTATCAGAAGGCTTAAACTCTAAGGCACCCTTAGGAAAAGCAGCCTGTACAGAAAATGAACAGAGTGTAAATATGCGTTCATGAAGAGGATAATAATTACATTCATCAGCGAGACATCCAAGTAGAGGCTCAGGAGTCTGAATCGAGTAGCACTAAAGAAAGTTGCCTTTCCTCGGTGTATTCAGAAGAGCAGCTCGGCCAGTTACTCCCTGCAGGTAACATCCTATCAGCCGACCCCACCAGCCTCCCGAAATTATGTTGTGTCACTTTGTGCACAAGTTCCTGGACGTATTTGGAGGCCCACCCTCTCTCCCTCCGCTCCAATGGCATACGGGCTCCTTCAGGGCAGGGCTGTATTGTTTGCCCTTCTATCCCCGGTGCAACACATAGTGAGCCCTTGGGAAACCTTCCTGAATGAACACTGAGATCAGAAGATCAGGGTCCTGGTCCCCACCCTTCCCCACGCCCCGACAGTGTAACTAAGCAGATCCTGTGGCTTTCCAGAGCCTGCTTCTCCATCTGCCAAAAGGGGATGATCGTCCTTGAGATGTTTGCCTCCGTGATTCATTGGAAGGAAAGTGCCTGGTCAGTCACAAAGCGTCGTCTAACTAGTGGCTGCACGGAAAAGGGGGAACAGAAACCTCGGCAGGCTGGACGAAGCACGTTCCAAGTCCGTGCTAGCGCTCGGGTAAACTAATGTGGGAGTTAGAAGGGGTGGAAGGAAAGGACGCCGAGAGATACAACTGTGGAATCAAAGCTTCTTTTAAAGAGCAGAGGTGTGGAGCCTGGAGAAGATAGGGTCAGAGGTATTGGAAGGGCCCTTAGGGGAAAGAGGGAGCAGACACGGCAGAATGGACAGCGGTGGGGGCAGGGGAAGAAAGGCAGCGTTAAGCTCAACTTTTTAAAAATTCTTCGTGAACAGAGTTGTCTAAAAGTGAACATCACATGCCTTCCAAAAATAATCTTCTAAGGAGCAGGTCAGCCTCTGCTCAAAACCCTCAGTGGCTCCCTCTTGCCCAAAGCCTGAGCCAGGCATTGAAGCCTCTCTACAGCCTGGCTTCTGCCTGCCTTTCCAGAATGATGTCCTATTGCCCCCTCCTAGATAGCTGTATTCTGGCCCTGATGCCACTTTTCCCCACAGCTGCCAACGCTCTTGTCCTTTTCACATCCCCTCCTGTGACACTGGTCTCAGGAGGTTTTTTTCTCCAGAGCAGAGCATACACTCATTCCTTCAAGACACACACTGGTTTTGCTCGTGTCTTTGTGTCCCCTACCTAGTACAGTTTCTTGTTCATAGATACATAATAATATTTTTTTTAAATGTACACTGAAATAGTCTGCCTTGGGACGTGGTCATTTTCCTGTTTGACAGAGGTCTGCAAACAAAATTTGAATTATCACTTGTCAGGGATGTTTTAAGAGGAACAACATGTCTCGGAGGAGAGATAATGTGGTCCTGGAGATGGCCCACTTTAGCAGAAACATGGGAGAAGGGCAGGAGCTCCTGATGCCTCAGGAGCTTGGGTGAGGAGGCAGGAAGTGATCGTGATGTCCTGAATTGTGGCGTAGGAAGCACGACACCCTGTTGAAAGTGGATGCAGCGTCTAGTTTGGAAGGTTGCTAAGTCTCGGTATTGCCTCCTGCTGTGGAGAAGCTGGTCAGATCATGGTCACTGAGAAGAGCAACGGCTCTGCTCCTGGCATGTGGCAGTTGGCCATTCATAACCATATGACTGCGGAAGACGAGGTCATGCAGGCAACCCCAGCTATGGCCGATGGATGTGCGTGCGTCTCGCAGTAGGGACTGAGTCAGCGTGCCAAGCACTGTCAGAAGGGACGGAGCTTCTCTTCTGGGGTGGTGATGAGGAAGGGCAAGGAGAACGAGGTGCAGAGTGTAAGGGGCCAAGAATGATTTCGGTCAGGGTGGAAGGGGGAGCCTTCACGGACAAGTTGCTGCATCTCCCTTCGTGCCTCATGTGCCTGTGTGAATTCCTTTCCATTCCACCTTGGTTCCCTCCACCCCTCATCCCTCACCTTCCTCTTCGTGTATCCATCACCTCCTGGTGTCTCTACTTCCCTCCACCTCTCACCTGCCCTCCTTCATCTTCTCTTCCCACACACTGTGGTCCAGTCTTCACTTATCAGTTGCATTCAGCATCTGGCCCATTTGTTCCTACTTTGGCTTTAGCTGTTTCTGCTGCTTAAGGCAGCTGACTTTCTAGACCCTTGTATTTGGTGCATATGTCCCCTCCTCTGTATTTCCTAACAGAATTGATGTGGAACAGTTGTGTGTGTGTGTGTGTGTGTGTGTGTGTGTGTGTGTGTGTGTGTGTGTGTGTGTGTAGCCACACATGTCTGTTCCCAAAAATGAATTATAACTGGTAAATCTTGTCCTTAAATAGATGAGTTGGTGTTAATTATATCTTGGGCTTTTAGACAGGTAACTTTTTAAAAAATATTCTTTTATGTGTTTATAATCCAGATAAAGAAGCTCTTAACCAGATCTGCCTTAATTGAATCTAGATTTTCTCCTTGTGATTGTGGATGGAAGAATCTCTGAAACATCATATTAAAAATACTTGGATGTATTGAATGATGAGGGGTAGCCAGGTGGCGCCATAGTGCACAGAGCACTGGTCCTGGAGTCAGAAAGACTCATCTTCCTGAGTTCAAATGTGGCCTCAGACACTTCCTAGCTATGTGACTGTGGGCAAGTCACTTCACCCTGTTTGCCTCAGTTTCCTCTTAACCATCCAGTATCTTTGTCAAGAAAACCCCAGATGGGGTCATGAAGAGTCTGAAATGACTGAACAGCAAAATAATTGAATGATAAGAAATTGTTTTTAACAGCGTGTTCAGTTCCATGTCCTGAAAAGATTTCTGTCTTCCATGCATCTAGACTGTCAGAACATGGACAGCTGATCTCTGGTAGAGATTTTCTTTTCTTCAGCTACCAGTGGGATCAACGTAGCAGAAAGCGAGTCCTTTAATTTATGGTGTTTGTGCTCACATTGGGTTTTATATTGAGAAGAGGGTTTGAGCAAGGGCAAATAGTTGGGGAGGAGCCCTAGACTCTGCTTCTGAATCTCCTCCTCATCTTCAGTTTTGCTGATTCACTGAGAACTTATAAGCCTTGAAGAGACCTTTGACCTAGGACTCCCACCCTCAGCCATCTGGGTGGGCTGTCTCCTGTGTGCTCCCACTACTGCCCAAGCACTCACTGCTTCCGGTTCCCTTCCAGCTCTGGCCATGGGCCTCTGTGTGGCCATGATCGCCTTCGTCCGCCTGCCGAGCCTCAAGGTCTCCTGTTTGCTCCTTTCAGGTCTCCTAATCTATGATGTCTTCTGGGTAAGTTTCCCTTTCCCATGTTTGCAGGGGGTGGTCCTTCTTGGTGCCCTTCAGCTGGCCATAATTCTGTCCCCAGAATCAAAGCCTAGTCCTTCAAGCTTTGAGCACTGCGTAGGCAAAGAGACGCACAGAGGACTCAGGGGCATCGCAGACTCTCAGCAGATTGGAATCTGCCTTGTGACGGAGGAAGGGAACAGCGAGTGCCTGCTGTGCTGAGGGCTTTACCATGGTTTTCTCATTTGGGCCTCACACCAGCCTTGAGAGGGAGGTCCTGCTGCGGCAGACGGAGGTTACACAGCTAGCTAGGAAGAGTCTTGGTCACACTTGAACTCGAGGCTTCCCAACTCCAGGCCCAGTGTTCTGTGCGCTTATGGCGCCCCCTAGCTGTGATGGCTGTTTGTGGAAGGAAGTTCAGAATTAAGGGCCCACTGGTAGCACAGGTTTTTTCCCCCATTTGTCCTCACTTAAAATAGAAACAAGTATGTGATGGTGGGCCAGCCATCATAATTGGGCAAAACCGTCCCAGATGGCTTAAAAGCACAAGGCATGTAGCCCCCCAGCTCCCCACTGGCCTCTAATTTGGCTGAGGCCCTCCCTGCCAGTCAGGCCCTGTGCGTCTACCTACTGTGTGCATTTCCTTCTTCCAGGCAGACAGAGGTCCCAAGGATCAGAGGCCAAGAGCTAAAATGAACGTCATTCAGCACTCCCATATTAATTTAAGTCGTGTGTCCATAGCCATGCATTTCAATCAATGAGGGATTGGTTTCTTTTAATCACATTTAATTTACCAAATTGTGAATGCCTCAGCATAATGCCATAGGGTGACTGTCTGTTTGTCACATGGCACCTCTAGAATGACTTGCTTCCTGAGTTTCACCAAAAATCATATTTTCATGAGACTAATTCCTGGCCTTAGGCCAGGCACACCTGTAGAGTGAGAGAATGGGGGAAAAAAAACTGAAGACCATTCCTGTATTCATATTTCCTATGCTAACGTCAGTCTCTGTTTTCCAGGTCTTTTTCTCTGCCTATATCTTCAATAGCAACGTCATGGTCAAGGTGGCCACCCAGCCAGCTGACAACCCCCTTGACGTCTTATCTCGGAAGCTTCACCTGGGACCAAACGTGGGCCGAGACGTTCCTCGATTGTCTCTTCCTGGAAAACTGGTCTTTCCAAGGTAGGAATGCTGTGTACATTCTGTGCAGTTAATGCTGGCAGCAGACATGCAGATAAAGTCACCCAGAGGAGGAGGATGCCAGTGTTGTCTTTCAGTGAAGTGTTTTCTCACTTTGATTTTCTTCTCTTGCCCGTAACCATCTGATCTCGAGTTCAGCCCTTTGCTTTCCCTCTCCAGGACACTGTGACTCTATTGTTCCCATTTCACAGATGAGGAGCACTGGTTGAAGCATCCAAAGTAGTGAACTAGGTGCTTGGTGATAAAGGGCAGGTTTAGTGCTGACTGATCTGGTTGAAGGGCATTAGCCCTGCTCCTCCTCTTCTCCTGCAGCAGCATCTTCAGGCTCTTCCCTCCCCCCAGCCTAGCCCCGGGGCCTGGGGCAGGGTCCAGGCTGGCCTAGAATTTTGGTCTTCAGCCTAACAAGTCCCGTCACAAAGGGCAGAACACCAGAATTACCTCTTTCCCAAGAGACAAGCAGAAGCCCTGCTCAGTCCGCTGTTGCTGAGGGGAGGGCAGGGGAGGGGAGGGCAGGGGCCTGGGCTCCAACCCCCACGGCTCTGCTGCTCTCTAGCTCCACGGGCAGCCACTTCTCCATGCTGGGGATCGGGGACATCGTCATGCCGGGCCTCCTGCTGTGCTTTGTGCTGCGCTATGATAACTACAAGAAGCAGGCCAGCAGCGACTCCTGCGGGGCGCCGGGGCCGGCAAACATCTCGGGCCGCATGCAGAAGGTCTCCTACTTCCACTGCACTCTCATCGGGTACTTTGTAGGTAAGAGATGGCGGCTCCCAGCTCAGCCCTGGGGTCCTTCACGTTCTCTCTGGAGGGACACGCACCTGAGCGTTCATTTGAGTCAAGGGCCCTCCCCAGCCAGGGAACTCCATCCTACCAGTTCTTGGCCGCACTTTCCTTGTGCCCGGGGTGACAGGCAGAGCTCCAGCCCAGATTTTCCTGAGCCCTGAGCCAGCTCTGCCCTCCAGACTCCATCGAAGCAGAATCCTCCCTGGGCTGATGGAGTGCCAAGACAAGAATCAGCCTGGGGACATGCATGCAAAGAGAAGGGTCCCCTGCTGAGAGGATGCAGAGGCCCAATGTCCTGTCTGAGAGGAATGACCCCATTAAGGACTGTGCTGATGGGGAGGTGCAGTCATTGTCCTCGAAAGTAAGGGACTGCACCAATCGACTGAAATCCTCCTTTAGGAGAATTCCATGGATGGCTGCTCCAAAAAAATGTGCTAATTTTTATTTTAACACACCTCTGTGTCTTCCCAATCATCTCCCCCAAGTCAGTAACCAGGTCGGGCCAAGGAGATGCCCATGTCTGGCCACGTAGGTGAGGTCGGGCCTCAGTGTTCCAGCCTGCTGTTGGCTCCTTTCTCTTTGCTGAGGGCTGGGCTGGGGGGTGGCCAGGCCTCAGAAGGCACGCTCAATTGTTGCTGGCCTCAGGTTTCTGAGGTCTTTCAGGAAGTCACCTTGTCCATGTGAGATTTCTTTACTCAAATTCTATTATTTAACCCCAGAGAAAAGCAGTCCTGAGGCCTAGCGTTGTCTTTATAGACTGCTCATGCAGAGGGCCCATCCCCAGGTCCGGGTCTCAGGGCTCCCCAGTAGCCCAGGTTGGGGGGGAGGCGGCCCAGCGGAGGAGGGATGTATTTGGAAATGAAAACCCTGGGGGCTCTGCCCTTACAGAGGTCCTCAGAGAAGATTGGAAGTGAGGGCGAATGACTAAGCAGCCACAAGGGAAGTCCCAGGGAGCCGCTGGAGTGTTTGGAATGCCTTTACCTCCATTCTCTCCTTGTGTGAGGGAAGGCAGGGCAGATGTTGTTATCCCTATTTTACCGATGAGGGAGCTGAGACTTTGGAGGCATAGGAAGGAGCACTCCCAGGAGTCGGGGCCTGGGCCAGATCTCCCCCTGACATTTACTGCCTGGTTCCCTTGGGGCAACTCGCTTTGCTTCCCGGGCCTCAGCTTCCTCATCTGTAAAATGAAGGGAGAGATCTGTGAAACTGGGTCACACAGCCAGTAAGTGATGGAGCCGTGGACTTGAACCCAGATCTCGTGACCAGGAATCTTTTCCCAAAACCTCAGGGATGGAGGTAAGAGTGAGACCAAGGCCGGGGTTGAGATGACAATGTCAATGAGAAATTGAACAGAGGACCAGAAGAAGGCTTTAGGTGGAGCTGGGCCTCCCACCTGTCCACTCACCTCCTTGGGGTGAATAAAACGGGTGATAAACCCAAGTCCAGTAGAGAAGTTCCCCCAGTCTTCATCAGATTACATTTGTTTCCAGGGCTTTTATATTACCTTGTCTGAGGATTTTTTAGGTAGCCAAAAAATTATCAGTCGTTTCCCCAAACATCCTTGTGGTGGAAGATGTGAATTTTTTTAGCTTAGTGAGGATGTAATAGAAAGTAAATTGAAATAAATGATTGATGTCACTGTGGAAAAAAAAAAAAAAAAAAAAAGAAAAAGAAAGGAAAGTCCCCCCAGGCTCGGGCTGCTGGGTGGGCGCCCTCATGGCATGTCTCCTCCCACAGGCCTGCTGACCGCCACGGTGGCGTCTCGGATCCATCGGGCTGCCCAGCCCGCCCTCCTCTATTTGGTGCCCTTCACCCTGCTGCCGCTCCTCACCATGGCCTATTTAAAGGTGAGACGCCCTCTGGTTTTCTGTTTGTGGCAGCCTGGCGCCCACGTGGCATGCCCGCCTTCTCACTTGTACCAGTGTGCACCTCCCCCCAGGAGTCAGCTGTGTCCAGTCCAAGGAGCTGTCGATGGAGAGTCTTTGGGGCTTATTTTGAAAGAAGCAACCGGTCATCGAGCTCTAACCCTCTGCTCGGTGTTTGAGATCTAAAATTTGCAAATATTAGTTTGAATTTCAGGAAAACAGATGAAATCTGTGTCCTGTTGGAATGTAGCTATAGGCGGAGGGGGAGAGCCCTGACCAGGAGACTTTTCTGAAAACCACCTGGTTGTAACTTTCAGGTTGTGCTTGGGAAGCCCTGAGAATGTGTCTTTAAATGAAGCGTTTTTGCAATCACAAATTACAGTGAGTAAACTTTGGGTGCCAAGCACTGGATTCTTTGCAAAAATAATTTGATATCCTAGAGGTAGAAGCAGGAAGACGCGGTGGCATGTTTAGCTTGCACTGGGCGCAATGGGCCATGTACTGATACCAGCTCTCGTCCTCTCCTAGGGTGACCTGCGCCGCATGTGGTCTGAACCTTTCCACTCCAAGGCCAGCAGCTCGCGGTTCCTGGAAGTATGATGGATCAGCCGGAAAGTGACCAGACCCTGGCTGTGGTCCTTTTCCCTTGACTCAGTGGTGGTTTTGTTCCCTCCCAGAGCGGTCCTGGCCCTCAGAGGTGTCCTGGCCTGGGGTGCTAGTCTGACCTGACTTTGCATTGAAAGGGGGACTGAAGCTCCAGAGACCCCCTTTGATTCCTTTCTCGTGCACATGTGGAATTGAAGCCGCCTGGTGAAACTTCCGTCCTCCCCCTTCTCTGTTTTTATGGACCTGCCCAGCCGTCCCCGTGGCGAGGGAGGCAGGGCCTGGACATGGCAAGGAGCCGTCCAGGAGTCATGGACCGGACCTTCTTCAGGGAAGCCTCCCCCACTTTGGGACAGGGCTCCCAGGGGGACTGCCTTCCAGAGACTTGAGGTGATAGAAGTTCTTCTGTCACAGAATCTTTTTTGGATTGATTAAACCTTTTCTGTGGTGTAAAATGACTTATTAAATCCACAGACACACATGGAGTGACTTCTTACAGTATACATATAAGAATTTGTTGTAATGAATTACATTTCCACCCAGATGTCGTGTTGGCAGTGAATAAGGGCACGGTTTTTATACATGTACATGCGCGTGTGCGCACACACATAGCTCTACATATATATACACACACGTGTGTGCTGCCTCTATATGTATGTATATACACATATACATGCACAGATATATAGATATATATATATATATATGTGTGTGTGTGTGTGTGTGTGTGTGTGTGTGTGTCTATGTGTGTGTATATGAAGCGAGAAGAAGCTCTGCTGTGCTCGAGCCGCGAGCCGTCAGGCGTGTTCACCGTGACCTGGTGCGCGGGGCGGCCTCCTGCCCCAGCCCGCACTGGCCGCCGTACACTCGGCATAGCAAACTAGGGAAGCGGACATCTGGACCCCGCGGGGCCCCTTGTTGTTTTCCTTCTCACAGACCTCTCCCTAACCGCTCCTGTTTTTTAGTCGTCTCTTCCTAAACCAGTGCATGTATCATAGCCACAGAAGTCTTTGTGCTTTCTGATCAAGTGATGTACCACATGTAAATACATTTTTTCTATTTTCTATTTTTTTTTGTATTTTTGGCATTTTGTTTCATTAGTATTCTGTATTTTCCATGCCCTCACTCCTTTGAAAAAAAGAAAAAAGAACATGAAAAAAAGAGGCAAAACAACAAAACAAAACAAAAACCTGTCTTTTGCTGTTGTGACCTGGTCTGAGTTTACCTGCTATGACGGCTTTGTCCCTGGGACTCTGGTAAAGTGTGGACTTTCCTAACCGAGTGATTCTGGGTATGTTATTTTTCACCACTGAAAAGGACTTCTTGACGTCTAAACCAGAGCTACCATCTCATCCTTAGACTCCGTGTAGATGTGGGGCTAAGGGTTTAGGCTGAGAAAATCCTCGGATAAGCTCTGGACTCCAGGGATTAGAGAAAGCAGGGGCCAGCTCTTGTGACCTGGCTAGCTGTAGGCCCTGACCACAGCTGTTGCCCAGTGTTGGTGGAGCTGCTCCCAAAGACACCGCGGTCAGCAGGAGAGCGGGGGACAGGACCTGGGGGCCCGACTTTCCTCCCAGCCGTCTGACCCTACTCATTCTTTGATCCTGCCGTGTCTTTGGCGTGAATGTTTCCGTTGCCCTAAACAACCCTTGGTGTAGCCAGAGAGAAGGGGCTCAGAATTGTGTCAAGACACTTTGAGGCTCATGGAGCCATATTTTCTTCTGCAAATCCTGCTGAGTTTTACAACACTTTCCTGGCTTTTCTCCTGTGCTTCGCTCGGCTGTCTGATACCTGCCTTCTTTACCTGTTAGAGAAGACTGGTAGGCATTAAGCTTAGTGCCAGCTATCTACACTGGCACTCTCCTTCTCCCTTGGCTTAGCTTGGCCTGATGGGTCTCCAGACTCAGCTCTTATCGACAAAACTGAAGCAAAGCACCCTTGATGTAGACTCCCTTCTCTCCACTTACAGGTATTCCCTTCTTCTACATACCTGGTTAAATTTGTTCAAGGAAATCCAGTGATTTCTACAGAGAGAGCATGCTCATTTGTTAAGAAATTCCAGGGGATCGTGTGGTTTCTAGGGGCCCAAAGCAAATGGAAACATTTGTCCCTTAGATGTTCCACCATTCCTTGGCCATTTGGCCTTTAGGGAGGGAAGGAGGGATGGCTTTGGTATCTTCCCAAAGAAGTCCCCTTCCTTCTGAGACTTAGGAAGTATTGTCCTGCTGGCTTCAGAGTTCTGTGGGATTCTCTGTCTGCAGGCCTTTTGCTGTTCCACCCTCTGGTTCTTTTACATTTCATAGTGGGTTTTAGATAGTATCTATCATTAGAACCATTTAGACTCTAGAACAAGATCCTCCAAGTTTTTGTATTGGCTTTGAATAGTAAGTGTGGGTACAGTGGAAAGAGGACTGGATTTGGAGTCTCAAGGACCCAGATTCAAATCCTGGCTCTGCTATTTTCCAACCAATATGTCTGTGGAGAAGTCATTGGAACCCCTCTGGGCTTGTCTATCCTCATCTGTAAAACAACAGCCCAGGATTAGATCTAGATCTTCCATTCCCAAATCTATGATCTTATTATCCGAATCCTAAGAAATAACCCAACATTAAATGGAACAAAGAACTGGGCCTTTGGCCATCCGCCATGCTGTGCGTGTGTCCTCAGAGACCATCCAGCCTTCACTCAGACACCTCTAATGAGAGGTGACTCCCTACCTCCCAATGCAATCTATGCTACTGGGGGAGCTCTGATTGTCAGGACATCCACAGCCCACCAAAGACTCAGGGATGGAGAACGGTGACCCTCGGCCAGCCTTGAGGCCTCCACCCAGAAGTCTTCTCGAGCTAGAATCCATTTCCGGTCCCTTTAGTTACTCCTCAGATGGCATCCCAAGGCTGCCTCCAACTCCTTGCACTTACTAACCCCATCCCACCCCCACCCCCCAGATCTACCCTGGCCTTCACCATCTTTGGGAAGTTTTTTTCAAGCCTAGTGTAGACCATCATCTTTACTTCAGCCCAATGATGTGGCCTGTCAAAATCTTTTTAAATCCAGATTTTGTTATCTATTGCATTAGCTTTCCTCCCCAACTTGGTAGTCACCATCCAGGCCCTAATCCAGTTATTTATCCAAGTGTTATCTCATTCACAAAAGGCTAGAGTCCTGTTCTGTTCTTTGATCTTCTTTCCTTCCAATACAGTTAAAAAGAAATTGAGCCTACCATTTGGTTCTCCTTAGTTTTCCGTAGCATCCCCACTTTGTCCTGGGTTTTAGCATTCCAGTTACTATTTTTACAGGCCTATCAATAGTCAGTCAGTAGTTAACAAGCATCTACAGTGTGCCTGGCACTGTGCTAAGTGATAGAGATACAAATGCATGGAAAAAAAGGAAGACAGCTCCTGGCCTCAAGGAGGTTCAGTCTAACGGAGGAAGACTGAGCACCAAAGGAAGCTGAATAGGTGGAGGATGGGGAGGAGAAAGGGCCTGGTAGGGGGAAGCCCCGTGGCAGTGCAGCCAGGTGATGTCCCTAAGTGGAGGGTCCTGTGTTCTACGACTGGCGCGCTCTGGGGTTTCCAGTGAACTCCTGCATGTGGCTCCTTCCATTCTTCTGCCCCTGGAGCCAGCGTCTGGCTCAGTAAATCCCCTTCTCATCTGATAGACTTTTGAAAGTGATTTGTAAGACTTCTTAACAGGTACGCCAAGCACCTGCCATCCATCGCTGTACTTTAAGCTGTGGTCCAGCCAATTCAACAAACCATTGTAATGCAGAGTTCCGCGCATCACTTGGCTTTTCATTCATTTTTCTTTCCTTGGGGTGCCTGGTAGCTTAGCTGTTGGCCATCAGGAAGGAACCCGGGGCGCCCTCAGATCCTGTCTCTTCATTGATCTCAGCTCCTTCCCAAAGAGGCAATGTGAGCGTGCTAAAATTTCTGCTTCTTCAAATTAACTCTCGCCTTCCTGGTTGTGGGAGACTGTCTGAAACCCATCTGCTGCACACAGCTGGACCGTTTCTCAGCAGGGACCTCATTTGTAGAGGTTTGGGCTCATCTTGTTTGGTTTCCTAACATCTGAAATTAAAAAGACCCCAGGGCTTTCCAACCTGACAGCCGAAAAAGGAACATTCACCTACCCTTGGTGAAACCATCGAGTTCCGTTTTGACTGGAGGAAAAGATGATTCATAGATCTTGTCAGAGATGGAAAAGAGACCAGAGGGGGCCGTCTACTGCGGCCCCTTCTGGGCCAAACCAGCATCCAAGCCCCATGCTGAGGCTGCCCGGGTGGGGTCAGCTCTTCTTTCGTGGAGGAGGAAAGAATGATTTATCTCCCTTCACGTCAGTCTTCAAAAGCCTGCAAGGGTTGGGTTTGGGGGTTTGTTTTTGAAGGGGGTTCCCTTTCGTCCAGGCTGTTAATTGTTACAGAGTGTGTAACACTGTTCAGAGTCTATCAGCTGAGTAGTCACTTGGATGGACCGCTGTTCCTGTAAAGTTCTGCCACATTTAGCCTAAATGCCACCCATAAGTTTGGTTTACCTATAAAAAATTTCAGATTTCCAGGCTTCACCATAAAGAGTATTTAAAGCTAAGCTTTCCAATCCACATGGAAACTTCAGATACAGCTGGTGAGCCAACCATAGTCCATTGAAGAACTCTCTCCCCTTCCCCCCATTCTGTGAACAGAGCTGTTAATCATGCCCCCCAAAAAATGGCCCTTACGTGCATGGCACCACACCCATGGGATTTATCTTGGCACCAAACCTGAGAAGTAAGTCCACAGGGCAGCTAGGTGGTGCAGTGGATAGAGCTCCGGCCTTGGAGTCAGAAGGACCTGAGTTCAAATCCAGCCTCAGACACATGACACTAGCTGTGTGACCCCGGGCAAGTCACTTAACCCTAATTGCTTCACCAAAAAAGCAAAAAAAAAAAAAGTACAGGTACATTTTTAAAGCTTTAAAGTTATGGAACTTTCTACCAGCATTCATTCGATAGACATTTATTAACCACCTGCTGTAAACATCTCCAATTTTCTCTCCAAGAGCCCATCAGCCCATCTTCCAGCCTCTGCTGTACATTTGGCATGAAAAAAATGGGAGAATCAACTTGCTGTGAGGCCTGAGCTCCCCAAGGGCCATAGGCGCCCATGGAGGCCTTCTTTGCTGAGCTTTTCCCCTAAATGCCTCTCAAGCAGAAGGAGAGGTTGCTTGACTGAGTCAGAGAACATGGGTTCAAATTCTGGCCCTGCCTCTTCATACCCCAGTGGCCAGAACAAGCCTCGTCACTTCCCTGGGCTTGTTTCCTCAGTGGTAAGTAAGGGGACTGTGCTAGAAGAGCTCTGGGTCCCCCTCCAGGCCTAAATCAGTGACCTGGTTTGTTCATTTGATGGAGGCCATCTCATTTCTGGGGGGGTTTTTTCCCTCTTCTGTATAGTACCAGCAGTGAGGTGGCCCAGAGGATAGCGTGCTGGGCCTGGAGTCAGGAAGACTCA